GTTGTTCATGATGTATTTTTTTTCACATTTTTTTTATTTGGTCATGTCTCCTGTAGAATTTCTATGCCTGAATTGATATTTTGAGAGTGGTCGTTCATTTTTGGTTTTCATATTGTCTTTGTATGGGTTTTATAGCATAGTTACCCTAGCTTTATAAGTAACTTGTGGTGCATTCCTTCCTCTAGAATCTGAAATACTATGAAATGGTCTGTTAGGACATTTGGACTTGAGGTTAATTCATTTGAAGGATACTTTTTGGTAATATATTTCTTTTATGATCATATATATTAAGGTTTTTTTTTAATCAGTCTTAAGTTCTACTGTTCTACTAAATTGTCCATTCCATGCAAATTTTCAAATTCACTAGCATAATGTTGTTTGCTTTTTTTGCTTTTTTTATAGTGTTTCTCACATTTCCATTCATATTTGTTATTTTTGTCTTCTCTCTTTTTTTCTTCATCTGTTTTGTTAGAAGTTTTTCTGTTTCGTCTTTTCATAGAACTATGTTTTGATTCTGTCCATTCCCTGAATTTTATCTATTTTATATCTTCCATCTGCTTTTATCTTCATTATTCCTTTTTGATCTTTCAGATTAATTTCTTACTGTTTTTCATAATTTCTTAAGTTGGCTACTTAGGTTTTTAATTTTCAGACATCCTTCTTTTCCTACAAAAGCTTTTAAAACTCTAAGTTTCCTCATAAAATGCCACTTTGAACATTTATGATCTTCTTGTATTATAAAACATTCTCTCCCTATGTGAGTTCATGAAATTTGTGGAATTTTTTTTTTAGTTCTTTAGTTCCTCAATAGCAATATTAATTACTGTTCTTTTAATTTACCTGTTTCTTCAACTTCTGAAAGTACAGTAAAATGTTTAAGGAAATTACATCTCTAAGTGTTCTTTTTGTATTTCCAGAAGCTCTTCCTTTATATATTTTACACTGTGATTGGTTCATAAAATAACAAATTGTAATATTGTTAAATATTGGATTTAGCATTGTGTCATGAAATGTTTGTCTTTGTCTTGCTAATTCTTTTATCTTGTTATCTAATGTGTATGATATTCATGTTGTCATATTTCAAAGTTTTGAATTATATTTAATTTTTATTGATTCCTTTTTTAAAAACCTCACATTTTAAAATCTGCATCTTTTCATAAGATATAGCTTAAATTTAACATCAACTGTGATACTCTTATCTTTCATCGAGCATGGAATCCAGCCCATTCCCATTATTGTGAGAATTGATTTTATTCTTTCTCTAAGATTTTCATCTTCTGTGTATCTTACATTATTCCCTTTCCTTTTCACTTGGATTGGTTCACTTACTGATGAATTTTCTCTTTATTCTCTTCTTATCCCTTGTTATTTTGAGAGGCCTACTAAGCTTTTTGTTTCCATTAGTGATTGCCTCTCATTCCTTACAACCAACATTAAACTTGTTTTGTCCAAGCACTGTTCTTCTCCTATTTCTGATTTTAAGCTTTTGTTTACTTAATATTTTCCATAGTAGGATATCATGGATTATTCCTTGTAATAAAGAATGCTTGTTGTATTTCAGAAAACTTAATGCTATAAATTCCTATTTATGGTATCATTGTCTATTTAAATTCAAACATGTATGCATATATGTTATATATGCGTATATTTATGTACCTATGCATGCAAAGTCATTCACACACAAAGAGATCAAGAAAGGACGAATATTTGTCTTCACCACCTCTAGTTCCTCTAGGCTTTGATGTCCGCTATGTTGAGAAAGCTGCACTGAATCAACTGTTTTTGGTTATGTTCTTTCTCAAGTGTTGTCCTCAAAGAACATATATGAGTTTACTTTTTGAAAGCTTGCATGATGAGAATATTTTTCTTTTTCCCTGACAGCTGAATAATATTTTGTCTGGGTATAGGATTCTTGGATCATTTTTCTCAATAGTCTGTACATTGTTCCACTGTCTTCTGCATTCCAGAGTTGTACATGAGAATTCCTTAGCTAGTCTGAACCTCTTGTCTTTTTAAGTAACTTATTCTTTCTGTCTGGAAGCTTGTATAATTTTCTGTTTATACTTGAAATTCAAGTATTTCCTGGATTCACTTCCTGAACTTAATGAGACTTCTAATCTACAGGCTTAAAATCTTGCTTCTGCTCAGTATAATAATTAAAAAAAAAACTAGTACTATATTCATTTAATTACAACATCTCCTTCATCTTTTTTTCCTTTTCTTCTTTTTTAAAAATCCCTTTTGGAATTCCTCTTAATTCTCATGATAGGCTGCTGGGTCTGCTCTCTAAGCCTCTTATTTCTTCATTATTTCTCTCTTTGTGTCTTTACTAAGGGTAGTAAGATATTTCTTTCACTTGGTTTCTAGATCATTAATTTGATATTCAAAAGTGCCAGTGATTTTTTTTAACCTTCTGCAGAAATTTTTAACTAAAAATTTAAAATTAGTGGGTTTTGTTCAGAAAGTCTTTCTTACATCCTTCTTCAGTTTTCTCCTCTGCTAGATGTTCTGTGTGATCTTCTTATGGGTGAGTTAGTCCCCCTAAGTTAGGAGTGTTTTCATTTTACCTACCCATTGATTTTATGTTCTTTTGACTCATAATAGGTTTGTATAGTCTCTTTGGCATAAAATTCTGAAAGGTGTAACAGTTTTTGCCCTGCATTCTCACTGGCAGTGGACAAAGAGTGGGTGGCTCTTTCTCCCTGGGAAAAAGGAACATTCCTTTCTGGCTGCTGGTCTTTGCAGCAACTCAGCTTACCAATATATACCCCTGTTTTTCTCAGGCTCCCATCTCTAATTCTAATGCTACAAACTAAGCATGACCCTCCACCCCTCACTGGGCTTTTAGACCAGCTTGCTTGAGGATGGACAGCTATCCTGGGAGTGCATGCTGCCCTCTGAAACACCATCTGGAATGAGAAAACCTTGGTCTTAGTAGAAGCCTCAGGGGAAGCCTTTGTTCTGCTTTGTTCTGCTGTAGGTACTTTGCCTTTATTCACTAACAAGATAAGCCCTATACTTGCTCTCTCTCTCTCTTGAAGATTTCTGCATAATATGTGACCTTAGCTGAACTCTAAATTTTGCCAACTCCACTGATTTTACACATCCACCTTACTCCAGAATTGACTTAAAGCCACCCAAATGAAGTGGACCCCATTAGTGTTTAAATAATCCTGATGGGAGATAGAGTTTCCAGAGGCATCTATAGTAGTAAATCTACCTTCAGATTCAGTCCTCACTCCATGCTCTGTGGTCACATACTGTGACTTGCTGTGTGGATGAAGGCATCCTTCTCCTTGCCTTTACTTGAGGGAAAATCTACTTGGAACACTGTAGTTATGCTGTAAAGTGTTGAGTTGTTTACCTGTTGCTCTGTTACAAGCCACATCCAGTGCTCAGTAGTTTAACACAATAACCTTTATTTGACTCACAAGTAGCTCGTTTAGGCTATGCTCTGGTGTGAGCTGCTTCTGGTCTCAGCTGGACTCACTCAATGTTGGCTGCCTCGAGATGTCTGATCCAGGCTGTACATAGTTGATCTTGCAAGAAGAAATACAGCAAAAAGAAATACATCATGCTGTTAAGGTTTAGACTCAAAACTGGCATGCAGTAATTTCTTTTGGTTAAATTGTCACATAATAGAATCTAAAGTCCAGATGTAGGATAGGAGACCCTGTCCACAGTGCAGGGGTGGGAGGAGGAGAGGGTAGCACCAGGAATTCCATGGCAAAGCATGTGATTCTGTGGGCTGTGGAGGATAGAAGACCTGAGGCCATGAACTTAACCTGCCTCAGCTACGAACTGCAATGCCACATTTCTAAGTTTTAGTATAGCCTGAAAGGAGAGAGCCACGAGTTTAGCATGGAGGTAGTAGAGACACCTTTGCAGAGGAGATATCATTGGACTCTCCTACAGGCGGTTGACCTCAGTACTGTGAAGCTGTCCATATCCCCTGCAATGCGGGTTTGATCCCGGCCGGTGGTGGAGATACCCACTGTAAAGGGGCAGGACTGGCCACTGAGCAGGTTTTCTAATATCCACCAGACCGGGTAAAGGAGGAGTCAGAGTCCTCAGTGGTTTTTTGCAGGCTTTTATTGGGATTTACCAGGTACACGGCAGGCAGGGGTGCTAGGGGGCCAGGAGGCTGGCAGGCCTCCCAGTGCCCAGCAAATCCGCACTCTCTCTGGGCTCTTTGGGCTCTCTGGCCTTCTCTCTGCTTCTCTGCTCTCGGCTTCCTTTCTGCTTCTACTGGCGTCCCCGTGACGCCGCCCTTAAAAGCCCAGTCTCAGCCCAGGTGAATCCCATCTACCTATGCTCACACCCTATTCCAGGTGCCCGCCATCAGGCATGCATTCAGGACCACAAGGATCCATCATCTATCCTGATGGCGGGAGGGCAGAAAAGCCTGACATTTTTCCTTACCCTACACCCACATGGCGTGACAGACATCTCCTGTCTCCCCCGCTGCTCCCCTCAGCAGTGTATTTCGGTCATTCTGGCTGTTCTGTTCCTTGCTCTGTCTCTGGAGAATGCTCTCACCCTCCCGCACATCTGGCCTGGTTCTTGTATGCATGAATAAAATAAATAACTTTAATAAATAAATAAACAAATAAATATACACCTATAATTACCAGTATCATAACCTAAAAGTTAGTAACAAATCTCAAATAGCTAGTCAGTCAAAATCTCAAATTACCATCAAATAGCTAGTCAGCTTTGTGATTTCTAATAACCTCACAAATGTCATGTAAATAGATCTAATTCAAATGTTTATATAGCTTGATTAAGATCTAAGTAAAGGGCTGAGACTATTAAAAGTAAAAGATGATGCTTTAAATAATTAGCAGATGTAAATGTGGACTTTTGATCTAAATAAGAATGTATAATTACTTACTTTGGTGCTACCTTGACACTACTGCAGATATCTGAGTGGATATTTGAGAAAATACAAAGAAAGCCTAGCTCATATTATTGGTGTTACTTCTCTCCCGTTTTCTTAGGTCTCTCTGCTCACTGGTGTGCAAATGGACATACTCTGCAGAGAAAGGCTGGGATGACAGCTTCTGGAAGATGATTGGCTTGGAAGACTTTGTTGCAGATAATTACAGCAAAATAGGTAAAATATTAAAACTCAGCAGAGGGATTATGTGTGTGTATATGAGGACGGTGAAGGTTTTTGGTTTTGTATGACTTAAAATAACAGCAACACCGCCCTGTTTTTTCAAAAGAAATACGGAAGTGGTGGGTAAGCCATGAATCCTTGTGTTGGGGCTTAAGTGATCTGAGAGGAAATGGAGGCAATGAAGTACATAGAACCTTATCTATGAGCTGGACAGAGAAAGATATTTTCATGAAACAGATGGGAATAACGTAATGGGGAGGGAGGGAGTGTATCGATCATTCCCACTACTGTGAAAATATTTTATGAATTAGGTTCAAGGAATCAGGCAAGGCCATGAACAGAAAACATAATAGTTGAAGATCAAAAGTAGAGATCAAAAGTAGAAGAATCAGGAATATCAGAGAAAACAAAACATGAGTCAGTGCCTGCTGAGGAAGACCATGAGGTCCTAAACGTCCAGCTTTATATAGCACTGATTGGGTACTAGAGGCATAGTAACTCTCAAGGGTCACCTGGTAGAAGAATCCAAATGCTCTATGTGCAGATTGTGTGGTTGTGTGAGTGTGTGGGGGAGGATATTCAGGTATATTTAATGATAACTGACATTTTAAGGTTTACATGTTCACTTCACAGAAAGATGTTTATTCCTGTAGATACTACTACATTCTAGCAATCTGTCATCAGCTCACTGGAGAGAGTAGGTGTAGATATATGGTGGAATTTCAGTTGATGAATAGATATAACCTTATAGAATATAAAAAGTATTAATATATTAAGTAAGTCATATGATGTTTGGTTTTAAGACTGTTTGGAGCCAACACCTGGGGCAGCCACTGGGGGACAGGGTTAAACTTTTATTCCAGGGCCTGAGGGAGTATGGCCTGTTGGGACTCCTGTTAAGTAGGTTGGGTTTTTGGACAGTGCTTCAGAGCCTGGAGGGGAAATACGCAGCCAAACAGGAAAGGGGTACTGAACAGAGTGCTCAGAGAAGGCAGTGACCACATCTGTCTTGCTTTTGAGTATCCTGGCATGGAAGATGTTGATAAATACCTACTGATGTAATGTGGAAGAGATAAACACAACTGTTTCAACTGACACAGATTGGCAAGAGTTAAGAGAACACAAGTACAGAACTACCTCAGGTGTCTTAGCCCAGTCTGCTATTTCACAATATCTTGGACAGATAATTTGAGCAACAGAAATTTATTTTTTCACAATTCTGGAGGCTGGGAGATCCACAGTGATGATGCCAACAAGATAAGCTTAGTTCTGAGGCCTCTTCTCTTGGCCTGTTGGCTGCTGCCTCTCTGGATTCTCACATGACCTCTTTGTGCAGGTGCGGAGAGAGAATACATACTGGTGCCTCATCATTTAGGGACTCTAAGCCTGTTAGATCAGGACCCACCCTTTCGACTTCATTTAACCATATTTGCCTCCTTATAAACTCTGTCTTCAAATGCATCGTATTAAGAGTGAGGACTTCAACATATTAATCTTGGGGAACACAGTTCATTGCACTAGAGTACTACTGCACAGTTTATTCTAACTGAAGCAGGACCACTAAGTCTGGAGTCCCCACTCATGTCTTGGAGTCTCCCCATGAGCTTTCTGTCACCAGGATCAAGTGATGAGGAGGGGCTCTTGTCTTGTAATTGAGGGTTAGAGGCAAGTTAGGTCGAAAGCATTGAACAGAGCTAGCGTTCAGAGCTAGCATAATTCTAGTCTAGCTCTAATACTAATGATGTGAACTTAGACAAGTCTCATAATGTTTCTGTTTCACTATGTTCTTGCCTATGAAAGACATAATTAATGGTAGCAATTAAAACTAATAGTTCACTGCTTCTCAGTCTTGATTTTATTGCATTACAACCATTATCTTATTAAATTATCCAAAATACGTATTTAAAATTTTTATTTATCCTGTTCTGCAACTGAAGAGCAAGTGCACTTAACTGATAGTGTCAGTTTGCAGGTGATAGAAACACAATTCAGACCTGTGATTGGATGACTCCAAATCCTGCTCTGACCATTGTGCTATCCTGATTTCCAACTAATATTCATTACGCACCTAGAGTAGGCAGCAAGTCAATCTTAGTCCTTCTTTTCCGTCTGTATTCTGTATTTCTTTTTTTTTTTTTTTTAAGATTTATTTATTTATTTATACAAGCACTGGGTACAGTCAGAAGCGCGGGAGGGTGAGAGAATTCACCAGAGCCAGAGCGGGGAGCAGAGCAGGCAGAAGGACTGAAGTACACTGCAGAGGGGAGCAGCGGGCGGCAGGAGAGGTCTGCGCGCCATGCAGGACCCTCCTCCAGTGGCCAGGGAGCAGCTTGGGAACGAACCGGCACCGCGGAGGCTGCGGGCAGCTTTGCAACCCAGTGCTCAACCTCTGTGCCACCGGGGAGGCCCTTCTTCTGTATTTCAAGCACATTTCTATGCACTTCCACATACTTAATGGCATATAATTCTCATAGCCAGTGACAAAAGTACAGTTACTTTGTTTACAGATGAGAATCAGAACAAGTAATTTTGTCTAACCACATGTAGAACCAATAAATTGGAAGTCAGAATTGAAAACTTCCCCAGCAGGAGAGCCCATAAGGAGCTAATATTTGATTGGAATACACATATCAATTTCAATAGCAATTTTTTAAGTGATTTTTCTTAATTTATATGTCCACTCCAACATAGTTATTCTTTCCACGTTTTCCCAGGATATGTTGGCCGCAGCTTTATTATAATGCACATTGATTGCCTGTCTATGTGTTGATACCACTCTAGACTGTGAACTCCTTAATCTCAGGATTTTCACTTATTTACTTTTATTTTCCTTGTCCTAGCACAGGGAATAGCACATTTGATTGGTAAGCAGGTAAATTAGTGACTGAGATGGCTGGCTCTAGGATATCAGTACTGTTTACTTATAAAAGCTGTAATGGTCTTTACTGATTTTAGCAGTGTTTGTGGTTATCTGGGTCCAGCTTCAACTCCTATATTCTGTTTGGTTTAACATTTTGGTGCTTCCCCTTGCACAAGACCCATGTTTAATTAATATATTAGCTCTGCTAATAGAGCAATACCTGTAGGAAATATTCATTAAAAGTCCATAATGTTAATCTAGCAGAAAATTTCCAAGTAACTGTATTAGATTTTGCCTGTTAAGTTAATGGATTTTTAATGGATGTCCTAAGGAGACGTATCATTAACCAGAATATTACTATACATGAATTAAAACGTACCCATTCATCAAAATTAGTTGTGTGATGTTGCCTTTGATTTTCATTTCTGGTGATTTGAACTGGTAACTTTAGCCTGAACCAAAAGTGCAAGATACTAAAGAGAATGCTAATTCTCATTTGTGACTTTCAGAAAACTTGTCTGGAACTTTTCTCTAGACATTTTTTCACAATTCTTGGAACTATGAAAAATGAATCTCGGAAGCCTCCCTATGAAGTGTTAAACATTTCCAGTGGACTCATTGCCCGTCAAGACGTGGGCAATATAGTGCAAAACCTTTTAGCAGACTTGAGGAAAGCATCGTGGATTTGAGCATTAATACAATTACCATAATTCGCTCCATGTGGAGCTTTTAGCCAAGTCTTTACCAGGCTTCCTGGGCTCACGCAGTAAATAAATGCTTTCCCCGAAAACTGAGCACCTCAGCAACTGATGGTCTTATGGAGGGATGATTTTGAAATAAATTATTTATGAAGTGTAAGTTAAGGATCAAATACAATATTTATATGGTGCATTTCAAGGACAGGGGAAGAAATTTACAGTGTTTTGAATAGCTATATACAAGAATCTAAAGCTAAAATATTACTACCTAATGTCTTCTTTCAAGGAGATATTTGGATGGTTTGGCTTGGGGACATTATACAAAGTAAGAAAAAATAGTTTTGTGAATCAGAAGAATATAGTAGACCCTTCTTTACAATTGAATCTGTAGTCCTTGATTTAATGTTCAAAATTGATGGAGAAAACAGAAACCCAGTGTTTTCTAGGGAATTGTATACCCTTAGTCTGATATGATGATCTGTGTTAATAAATCTTGATATTCAGTTCCAGGTGACACCCTTCCATGCTGCCTATCTAGTCCTAAATATCTGTCAAAGGCAAACAGGAAGGAAGAGATCAGTAGGGAGAAGGGACCTTTAGGAAGAAAAGCAACCTCCCACCTGTTCTAATCCATCATCCAGTCTCTTTTTCAGCATGTCTCAGTTGCCTTTTGCTTCCTGAGAAAAGTGCTTTATTGTATTGTTGGGATAGGGCACTTTATGTTGCACAACATGGCTGAAGTGTAGAGTGATTATTTGCATTGCAGAAAGAGCCTCATTACAGAAAATGCTTCAGTGTGTCAGCTTATAGATCAGCCATTATTTGGAGTCAGGAAACCAGAGGAGAAACTTAAACCCCAAATAGGAGCTACTGTTAAGTGAGAGGCAGAAATGGAGATAAAGCATATGTGAAGGAGGACAATTCCTAAGGGGGGGAGGATATATCTTTTAACTGTTTTCCTTTCCCTGTGTGAGACTGTATTTTAAGCATCAGACACTGTGGGCAGTCATTTAGCACAGAGTAGATTCTGATGAAATACATGTTGAATGAGTGAATATGTGTTTGACTGAAATACTTGCTAAATAAATCCCCTTTTGGCTTCAATTGTCCCTAATACATAAAGGGCTGGACCTCCCCTGGAGGCGCAGTGGTTGAGTGCTGGGCTGTGAAGCTGCCTGCAGCCTCTGCAGTGCCAGTTCAATCCCCAGCCACCGGTAAGGGTCCCACATGCACACAGACCTTTCCTGCTATGCCCGCTGCTCCCCTCAGCAGTGAATTTCATCAGTCTGCCTGTTCTGTTCCCTATTCTGGCTCTGGTGAATTCTCTTACCCTCCCGCGCTTCTGACTGTACCCAGTGCTTGTATAAATAAATAAATGAATCTTTAAAAAAATACATAATGGGCTCTCTATAAATTGTGTTGAATTAAACAGCACT